AATTTGCTCCGAATTTAGTTGTATTTCAACGAAGGGGTCTTTCAGTGTCTACTTTATCATTGTGCTGGAAGCAGAAAATGAGTCTACCTTTTATCAACTCTACTGGTAACTATCTTTTTCACTAGGCAGACAATCAAGTCTTTTTGCTTTTTAACTCGTAAGCTTTCCTTCTTAGAGCAGTTTCGGCATACAGCAAAATAGAACAGACAAATCCATTACATCCCCTGTCCCCACGTACGCACAAACTCCCCCACCATCGACTTCCCCCACCACAGTGGTACATTCGTTACAACACATGAACCTACACTAATACATCATTATCACTCAAAGCCCCTAGTTTCCATTAGGGTTCACTTGCAGTATTGTGTATTTTATGGATTTTGACGAATGTATAATGACATGTCTCCATCACTGTAAGATCATACAGAATAGTTTCACTGCCCTAAAGATCTTCTACACCCTGCCTATTCACCTCACCCTCCTCCCTAACCCCTGGCAAGAAGTGAACCCGTTACTGTCTCCATACTTTTGTCCTTTTCAGAATCTCATGTAGTTGGAACATACCGTATGTAGCTTTCTCATACTGACTTCTTTCATCTAAGTTTCCTCTATGTCTTTTCATGGCTTGATAGCTCATTCTTTTTAGCGCTGAGTAATACTGTCCATTGTCTACACTACAGGTCACCTGCTCACCTACTAAAGGGCATCTTGTTGCTTCTAAGTTTTGGCAATCATGAATAACGCTGCTACAAACATCTGCACGAAGGGTTTTGTGTGGACATGAGTTTTCAACTCACTTGGGTAAATACCCAAGAGTATGATTAGTGCATCATACGGTAAGAGTTGTTTAGTTTTACAACAAACACACAAATGGACTGCCAAGGTTCTGTACAAATTTGCATTCCCACCAGCAATGAATAAGAGTTCCTACTACTCCATATCCTCCCTAGCACTTGGTGTTGTCAGTGTTTTGGATTTGGGTCATTCTAATAGGTATGTAGTGGTATCTTATGGTTTAAATTTGCAATTCCCTAATGGCATATATCATGTTGAACATCTCTGCATATGCGTCCATCCCACCTGCATATCTTCTTGAGTGAGGTGAAGGTCTTAAGACTGGGCCTGGTGGCTCAGTTGGTTAAGCACTGGACTTTGGTTCAGGTCATGATCTCATGGTTCATGGATTTGAGCCCCGTGTCGGGCTCTGTGCTGACAGCTCAGAGCCTGAGGCCTGCTTCAGATTCTGTGTCTCCCTCTCTCTCTGCCTCTCCCCCACTCAAACCCTCTCTCTGACTCTCAAAAATGCATAAACATTAAAAAAATTTTTTTTAATTAAAAAACAAAAAGACTTGGGTCCGTTAAAGTCTTTGACTATTTTTTTTTAATGGGGTTGTTCATTTTCTTATTGTAAAAACTTACAGTGCAGGCTTTCCTACCCTGGCATTGGTTCCTATGGAAGTTTCTGCTTGGATTAAGTTGTGGTATTGGCCTCTTTCTAATTTGTGGACAAGTGGTTTGCCCTCTGACCTCACTTCTCTCACAGATCTAAGAAGAGTTGTTGACTTTTCAGTTTGTTTAACTTTTTACTTGTTCTTGGGATCGAGTGGTAACTTCTAAGCTCCTTACATGCTGGACTAGAAACCAAAAGTCTGTTAAGTCTTTCTTATTTTTGTGTTTTCCAGGGTTTCCTATATAACTTTTATATATAGCACGTGCTTAAGGACTTTTGCTAAAATTTGTTGAACATCATTGATAATAGCTTATATTTTCAAGTACTTTCTAACCATCAGTCACTGTTCTAAGTGTTTTCACATACGTAATCTATTTACGTTCTCACAAGAACTCACCTACAAGTGCTATGATTATTCTCCTTTTATGGATAAGAAAGCTGAAGAACAGAGAGTTTAAGTATCTTCCTCCGAGGGGACACAGCCAGTGAATGGGGAACCAGAATTCAAACTCAAAATATTTGAGAACCCATGCTCATAACCACCATTCTCTACAACCCAGCTGACTCCTAAAATTCCTGATAATATTGTGACTTCGATTTAATCACGAAGAATTCCAATAGTCCAAGAGATTATTTCTCTTCCTAGTTATTTTGAAAACTGCTAATATATTTCAATTTACTGCTCAAAGATCTGAAGTTAATGAAAGAGAATGACTTTGAATACACATTCCCTGTAAGGCATTGCCAGAAAATGATTATATGTTTGTGCAGTCCACACAGAAACTGATGTGGCCGGGAGTTCTATTAGTTCCCAGAAACTGTCGAAGGTCTCCTCAGTCCATCAGAGATACTTCGTGTTGCCTAAAGTGAATCTAATACCGGAAAAAGACCTCCAAGTTCCTATGAATAGAAACATGTGCACTGTTTTCTATGACAAATTAGCACTGAGACTTGCATAAATATAACTTTGAGGGTACTAATGTTTTAAGCCAACGTAGGTTGTTCTGATTCTATTGCGTATACATTGAGGTTCACCACCATTAACAGACAAGCCAAAGATCATCGTTGCCCTGGAGGCAACCTCAGCTGTAGCAAAATACATAGTCTGCTTTAGAAGCGCCATTTTGTAGTCTGCACTCGGACTGACGGCACATTTTGTTCTCTTTTTTTTTTATCTTTTAAGAAAAAATTTTTTTTTAACGCTTATTTACTTTTGAGACAGAGAGAGACAAGCATGAACAGGGGAGGAGCAGAGAGAGAGGGAGACACAGAATCTGAAACAGGCTCCAGGCTCTGAGCTGTCAGCACAGAGTCCGACGCGGGGCTCGAACTCACGGACCGTGAGATCGTGACCCGAGCCGAAGTCGGACGCTTAACCAACCAAGCCACCCAGGCGCCCTTGTTCTCTTTCTTTATGGAAACATGGTTTATCTGTACCACTAATCTACTCTCTTTTTTATCTAACAACTGATTCAGAGCTTCAAGTCTCAGAAATATTCTGATTTCATTAAAATTCATATTGGTTGGTTTAAGACACATGGGAAACAAGGACAGAGAAGTCTACATATCAAAATATTGGGTTGTTTTTAGTCAATATAGTCTTTATCAGTTAAGATAAATGGATACTCCATGGATACTCCATGGCAATTAGCCAATATCAGGAGAGTTTATATTCTCAGGGGAGATGCACGGTCCACCCTATCCTCACGTGGTTGAGAAAAGAACCACATTCTAGTTAAATGTATACAGTGAGAAAATGTATCTCCCAAGGGCACAAAAAATGTACAAACTTCCTTATTTGCTCTCCCCTCAAAAAAACCCACTTTGCATTCTTTGATGTTATATTATAGTCTATTGTTTATGCCTTGAAAACACAAGTGTTCAGCTCTTTATGGCCTAATAAATTTGTAGATAAAATCTAATGATTTATGGAAAAGTTCATAAGATATATTTTCGATGTATCACTAATTTATGGAACTTATTTTTCATTCATTCATTCATTCATTCATTCATTCTTTAGATCTGCTCCAGTGCTGGAAATGACAGCCTGTAATGGCAGTCCAGTGTTCTAAGTGTGCCCATAGTTGTAGAGACAACATGGTCTGAGAGCTTGCAGAAGAGGACGACCAGCTAAGTGCTTTAAACAGGTGTGCAGAGAAGTCTCCAACTGGCAAGCATGAAGGACCCCCCAAAAGAACCAAACACTAGGACGGTTGAAATTCTGACCTCATCCAGCCAGACCCTTTCTTTCCTAGGAAGCATTTCATAAAGTTCTGCAAATTTGTAATGCATTTGTAGACTGCATGGCATCGGTCTTAGATTATTTTCAGTAAAGGCTGTATGTATGTCTAGGGACTCAAATCATCAAAAAAAAAAAAAATGGGGCCTTCTAGGTCTGGCATATTTCAAAACACAATCGAGTAAGGGTACGTGTGGTGATGGACTCCCTTACACGGTAATGACAGCTGTAGCCTGAATAATCCTGAGGGAAAGTATTCCTAATAGAGACATCATAGACCTGTGTATTCCTCATGCAGAAAATGGTCATAAAGGGTTTGGCTCAAATTAAAGCAATATATTTGGAGAATTTTTTGACCAGTGGAACTAAAGTATCCTGAGGTGAGGTTGCCTTTTTTCTAATTTATACAATTTGTGCTGGAGACCAGCTGCCCTGTTTTTGGCTCATCTCAAACATTACTCTTGCGTCTGCCAGGAAATAGAGAGGAAGTGGATCACCTCGGGTGGTGATCTCGATCATGAGCACACTTACCCTGCAGAGCTGGCCCATATACCACGCCTGGGACAGATGATAAGAGCCCAAGAAGATCAGAGAAGGAAGTGAGAATAAAGGAGCAGCAAAGAAATTCACAGGATGACTCTTCCCTCCATCACTTGCTCTTGGTGCCTGTCTAGGATCCATGACCCCTTTGCCTGAATTTTCAGGGCTTCACGCTTTCACTTTCCTTTGGTACATCCAGCACCAAAACAGGCAGAACATCTCAGACAACAAAGTACTTGAATTTACACTCCTCAAGACAGAGACTCTTTCTCATTCATTGTTTCAACTTGACAGCCTAGCACGCTCTTGGGCTTAACGTAGATACTGAAAAAATGGTGGCTAAGCAATGGGAATGAATACAATTATTAGGTAAAATGCATCTTTTGGAATAACCAGTTGGCTGCATTTATTCCTGACTTCGTGGGGATTAATATTATAAAGCAGGCAATAAGGCAAAACCGGCTTCCACAGGCCAATCAACTTCTTGGCTCTGCTGTACTTCTTTTCTCAAGAAATGATGAGAATTTCTTTGGCATGTGCCAAAGAGAATTCCATTTTAAGGAACTATCAGGGGACAGTGATTTAATTAGAAGGAAAAAAAAACCTTAATTCAACGAAATCAAACAGTAGGGGAGCTGTTATTTACATTTGTAAAATATCTTAAAGATAAAAACATGGCGGACGTCAAATTACAAACAAAAGAAAGTCACCTCTGCTCTAGATAATCTAAAAAGTTCTTGAAATCAACAGTAAAAGAAGTAACCCTCTTACCTTATAATTATCCATGATTTCAGCTAACCATAGCTTAACGGACTTTACTGTATCTTCTCGCATGTACTTTTCAACTTGGGATCCATCACTAAAAGTCCGGTTTCCCACGTGGATGGCTTGTCTCACTTGTGGGAGGGACAAAAATTTCCCATAATAATTTTGGTCCTCGGGTTCCTGGCGGAAGGAGACATCAGAAAAATATCAGAGAACATGACTTGGTGACAGGAACAACGTGCTGGGAAAGCTTCAAATTTCTCAGAACATAAACCATCATGAACAAGATGAGACATGGCTGTTAACTCTGGTCTCCACCCTGACATTTTTAACTTGGGGGTTGTGAGGTAATTTAAATGTTACTGACAATAAAACTGGATGATCTGATACCTTCAGAGCCTAATAGCCAATTTGCAAATGCTCGATTTTCCTTTCTCGGTAACGAAACTTCTGCAGTCTATGACTCCAATCAACAGCCCCGCTTGAGGCCAAGACCGGAAAAACGGAAGAGGTGAGATTATCAAAAGCCATTTGCTTCTTGTCGGAGGCTCTTCGGGAGGAGGGTCAAATAGACCACAGGAGCCGGGGTGGTGGCATGGCGGACTAAAAGCTGGGCATTCTTTTGCATGTTCTTCTGTTTATTAAAACCATACATAGAAAATTATCAGCTAACCATAATTGAAAGGGGGAAATATACCAAGTGTAAAAACAGATGATACCTTATGAAGGACATCAGACAAAAGAAAAGTCACCCATGATCCTTATTTAAAAAAATATATATATTGCATAAAAGTCTGTGGTATTGAAAAGTCTGTGATATTCATCATACTAAAAGACAAAGGAGTAAGTGCTACTTTAAAAAATGACAAAAATCATAAAAAAAACTTAGAGTTTGAGATCAATAATTTTGTGCATCATCAATTTATGCTAATTTGTTGAATACGTTAGTTTGTAAGGAAAAAAGAAATGTAATTACATTCTGTTTCTCTCTTGCCTACCATATGTTTTCCTCTTGGTAGACTGTAGATCCAAAACCACAGGGTTAGCAAATTCTATTGAAATTAGCTTTGTATTTTATTTATGAAATAGTTAATAAATAAGGCAATTTTAAAAACAAGATACATTGTCATATACACTAGACAAAGATCGTACAAATCCAAATCCCCACTTTGGCTCCCTTGGTTATATTTGATTAATTCTTCACAAAAGACATCAACTTTGGCCTGCTTTTATGAAAGAAAACTACTTGAATACTTTAAGAAATATTCCAGAGAGCTTGAAGTGAGGGCCATACTAAGCGCACAAACCTTCTTAAGTTAAAAGTAAGACAAAGCAAATATTTTCATAAAGGCTTTGGCAGTTTTGATTATCCAAGCTGCCTTAAGTACAGAACAAATAATGTGGACACTTTCAAGAAATTCACTACAGTCTTGGCGTTCTGGAACCTAATACCCAGAACTGCAATCCTGGCCTATCCTTGACAAAAGAACTTTTGTATCACAAGTTCTACTGGGGGGAAACTGTGTTAATCAGAGATTGTTCTGAGTTATCTGGAATATCATACATTCTTGATGGTCAGATTATAACATGTACAACATCAGTGGGGGAAAAAAATCCTACAGATTAGTAGACCAAATAATGCACTACAGTTAGGACATATTTATCTAGTATAAAGTCAGCTATAGTATTTCTCTCTCTCTCTCTTTTTTAATATATGAAATTTATTGTCAGATTGGTTTCCATACAACACCCAGTGCTCATCCCAAAAGATGCCCTCCTCAATACCCATCACCTACCCCCCCTCCCTCCCACCCCCCATCCCAGCTATAGTATTTCTCAAGTCGAAGGACGTTTGGTGTTACCAAAAGGTTGAAGCAAACACTAGTATAGTTTGTAAACTGTTGCACTCATTACCTTGCACTGTAACAGGTTATAGTAACTAGGACATCCTGTGACATTCTGGAAGTAAGAAGGGCTGTTTGTTAAGTCACCATCTAGTAGTTTATCCAGTACCTAGGTCGGGAGAGAGGGAAGAAAGAAACAAGGAAAACATCAGGGTAGGTAAAAACATACAGACATTTGTCATTGCGTTGACACTCCTCCATTGTTTTGTTCAACAACCTTTTATCGCACATCTTCTCTGTGCTAGACACTGTCTCAGGCATCGGGGACATGGCCCTGTGAACACGACAGAGCAAAAGTCCTCCCTAATGTAGCTTATATTCTAGAGGAGGACAATAAGCAAGCACTCATAGGAAAAACACGCAGTAAGGTAAGCGTGAGAAGTCCTAAGGAGACAAGTAAAGAGAAGAAGAGTAGGGAATGTCATGGGGGTGTGTGGGCCTGTGTGTGTGTGTGTGTGTGTGTGTGTGTGTGTGAGCACGGATGCCGCGGGGAAGAGGAAACAGAGGTCTCACTGAGAAAGTGGCATTTGAGTAAACACCTGTTGGAAGGAAGGAAGTGGACCATGGAGACATCTAGGGAAATAACATTCCAGGCAGGGGAAACAGTGAGCCCAAAGGCCCGACTGTGGGAGTGAGCTTGTCGGGAAGGACAGCCGTAACACGGAAGGCTGACCACTCACCCACAGTTTGAGGAGAGAGGGCAGAGGGTATGGACAAATGCGCAGGTGCTTGGAGTTGGCGGAAGTTCTCTTTGGACTCCTGACCTTAAAAAGTGGTCATCAGCGGAGGTGAGAGCAGTGGTTGCGTGCTCTTTTCCAGTCACGTGCAGCTGCACAGAGGCAGGCGTGGGGTGCTAGAGTGGCACTTGTAGCCAGGATGGCGGTCCAGCCAAAGGAGGTGGACTGACCTTGAATTTCAGTCGGGTAATTAGAGAAGCTAAGATTTAGAGGGGTTAAGGATCATGAAACTGTAGTAGGATCAATGGACCGGAAGACAGTGGGGTTGCAGGACGGTTATTTGAGTTTGTATATTCAGAAAAGTGAGCTGGCACAATGGGAATCTGAGATCGTGGAGTGATTTTCAGATTTGTTTTTGGGAGGGGGACTGAACAGCTAAGGTAAAGAGGAGAACAAGGTCACTAAAAGAGAGGAAGCTAAAGAACTAAGGGGCCAGGTATTAAAAGGGTCATTCATGCAGATACTGTGATCACTAGAAACAATGGCAAGCATGATACCCTTGAGAGAAGGACAGTGAGGCAGGAGCTACAATACTCAGAGGATGAGAAGGAGAAAGCCAGAGGGTTGTAGGTAACTACAACAAGAAGTGGTGGGTGGTGGGGAGCCTGGGTGGCTCAGTCGGTTGAGTGTCCAACTTCAGCTCAGGTCATGATCTCGTGGTCCGTGAGTCTGAGC